ACTCGAGTATTTAGAAATTTATTTAAAAGTTGTACTAAAGAAGGCAGCTTCTGCACCCTGGCCAGTATCCTCCTGCCTCTACCCTGCCCCTCCTATCTTATTTGCTCATTTTTCAGCACTTTTGTTTTCACAACGCTCAGTTACGCGCATAAATTGTGTTATGGAACTTTTTCGCAAGGTTGTTGGGGAATAGTAGCCGGAATGTGTGAAAAAGAAAGAAAGAACTGGTAAAAGTCTGGGAAAGTTTTCTGCCCAGAGACTGGCTTATATTTTAAATTTTGTGTTAACAACACAGTATCTACTCTTAGAGGTGACATTAGTAAGTCTTGAAACCATGGCTAATAAAATCCCTGGTATGGTGAAGTAGTTTTGTTTGAGAGTTAAAATAAATGTTTAAAATATAGATAAATATCAAGAATATATGGTAAAAACATTTTTCTATAATGCTTTTGCCTTAAAATAGTTTCAAATGATGTCTTCCAAACATTAAGCCTAATGACTTTCAATCGCATTGCGCATACGCAGTGTTGTCCCAACATAAAAATTTTGGTTCTGTTTACAAAACGAATTCTGAATTCTAAATAAACCATATTAATTCAACTTAAACCCGTTTCTTCAAAAAATAATACAAAAATACATAAGAAGTAACATTGTCACACAGTTCCCGAAATTTGCAAAAAGGGCTTCCGAATATTAGACTGCCACTCCAAGTCGTAATGCAAACTAAATCCGGCTGTTCTACTCTGCACTTTCCATTTCACATTATCTGGGTGAACTATAATTCTCGTTTAAGTCGCCACCGGCAAATTTTACAAGCATAAGCACGGGAAATGAGGGCCAACTTGCGCATAACTTGGTCCAATGCACTGAATTTGCGCACGCAAAAAGCTTGTAAACAAATACAATAAATTCGAGGCTTGAAGGTACCCACAAAGCAGGTGTTAATCCCATTCTACCCAAGCTTTTCGGTTCCTTCTAGTTTCGCCTTTTTCCTTCTGGGCTCCTCCCCAAATGTCGCATAACAACAAGTTAAAGCTGCCGGCAGCGCTCGCAAAGGATTTCCACAAAAAGAGAAAGGATAATCATAAAAAATTTGTTGCACACCGAAAACAATTCCCCTCATTTGTAGAACGTGAACGAGAGAAGCGTGAGAGAGAAAGAGGGAGCGTAGCCACATATGTATTTGGATTCAAGTTGCCAGTTGCCACTTTTTAGTTGGCCTAGGCAACGACTACCAGAGAGTAAAGTCTTTATTTCCGTTGCTCGACTATAAGATATCTTTTGTTGAGTAACTCTTAGAATAATATTCTTAGAATTCTTCGAATAAGAATCTCACAACTATTTGTTTTTAACGTTGCATACATGTCGTATGCGTTACTTTTTATACGACTTCTGTTTTTTATATTTTTAAATACGATTTTTTGAAACAATCAAAGCTTATCTTATACACTTTTATTTTGCTACGTTCTTTAATCTCAAGCTACCTTCAACAAATTTGGAAACGTGTCGTATGAAAAATTTTCAAATAACCTTCAAACCCGTAAAAATAAAATAGTTAATATGTGCTATCTTATCTAAAAACTAAGAATATTTTGTTGTTATAGTGAGTGATAGATAGAACTCTCAGCGTAATTTTTCATATTTTGAGCCTTTTATTTAAGGAAGATATTATAAGTTTTCCTAAAAAAAAATCCTATTTTAACTGGAAAATTTCAAATGGCAAACCAACAAAATATGAATGCAACACACCTCTCTCATCCAAGGTATTAAACCCATGGAGAGACAAAAAGACTTGAAGGGGAATGTCTTCCGTTGCACAGAGAGCTACTATGTAGCATTACTATCGCACTCACATGGAGTTGCAGTTGGTCTACCTCGTCCTGGTCGCCATTTGGATTTAATGCCGTTATTTAGTTTTAGCATACGAGCAGCTTTTAAAGGTTATCGCATTCCGGGCATTTTTTCTGTGTTCTGTGTTGTTTCGGGTTGGAAAAGTGAAATCTTATAAAAACAAAAAACAAAAAATCACCACACAAAAAATGAAAGAACCGTAAGCATAAAAGAAGAGTAAAGGCTTTAAATGCAAAGCGCACACACAGAGGAGGAACAAAAAAGTGTACACTGTACACGTGTGTAAATGCATTGGTGTTACTGTGGGTGTTGAAATTTTTGCATACGGCCACCGCACTATAGGCCGGATGACCACTTTTTCTGGCCAAAAACCCATTTTTCGAAAGTTCTTATAATTAAGATTTTATGATGTCATTATATTAGTATAATCTCAGACTTCAATATTACGTAACAGAAATTTTGACAGAGCCACGCTCCGTTAAGTTATCGGTTTTCAAAAACAGCTGTTCGGAGTGTCGTGATCACGTTTGCTCGTTATCGGAAAAAAGAGTCCATTTAAAGCTAATAAAAAAGGCACTAAGCTTAGTAATTTATAAAAAAGTTGTTATGGCATCGAAAGGGTGTGATTTGTACTATATGTTTTCGATTCTCAAATGTTGGTTTGTTTGGGATTGTCCCTGTAATTGAGTGTTTTTAACAGAGCTTTTGTGTGTGTTAATCAATAACAAAAACTAATGTTTAGTTAGAGATATAAACGGTCTTTGAGCTAGTTTGACCTTAATATTTATACTGGGTTGAAGGTAATTCAATTCTTGTTCATATGAATGTAATATTAAAGTGCCCTTTTGCGCACTTTCTGCGTAATTCACTTTTTAACGTTGTAGCCTCAGGCTTGCCAACATGGAGTTTTTCGATGTTTGGAGATCTGCTGCGACCAAATGTGCGAAAGAGAATGCAATATTGGCTAGATACAAAGTTTCTATAGCTGGTTCTGTATTTGAAGCCGAGAAAAAGCAGTCGAAGCTAAAGTTTAAAGGACGTATTCCACAGATCATTATATATATCAGACCCTACAATATCATCGGTTAACCTAGCCAACCGTATCAAACAACAAAACAGATAGCTTCTTCCAAAAGAAGTATTAGAATGGCTCCACAGTCCCTTAAGGAGCGCTGATGATCAGTATCAGTAAAATATTGAAGAAGATGTTGATTAGGTGAGCATGTGAAACAGTTTAGATTATATTTTACCTTTCAGGCCTTTTTATACCCTTGCAGAGGGTATTATAATTTTGGTCAAAAGTGTGCAACGCAGTGAAGGAGACATCTCCGACCCTATAAAGTATATATATTCTTGATCAGGATCACCTCCTGAGTTGATATGAGCATGTCCGTCTGTCCGTCTGTCCGTCTGTCTGTCTGTTTCTACGCAAACTAGTCTCTCAGTTTTAAAGCTATCGTCTTGAAACTTTGCACACACCCTTCTTTCCTTTGCACGCAGTATATAAGTCGGAACGGCCCGGATCGGCCGACTATATCCTATAGCTGCCATATAACTGATTGATCGGAAATGGTATAACTTTGGTGTTTTTAAAGTTAGAGAGTTCAAATTTTAGGTGAGAGCTATTTTTGGCAAAATAATACGACATGCCAAATTTCGTAAGGATCGGCCGACTATATCCTATAGCTGCCATACAACTGAACGATCGGAAATGACCCAACTTTAACCCAACTCGTGTTTTTGAAGATAGAAAGCTGGAACTTGGTACAGATTATATATTTGGTCAGTTGATCCGACCTACCAAATTTCATTAGGATCGGCCGACTATATCCTATAGCTGCCATATAACTGAACGATCGGAAATGGTACTTGGTAGAAATATCAACTTTCGTATTTTTGAAGATAGAAGTTTGGGACTTTTTTTAGATTTTGTATTGTAAAAGATTGGATTACATATTCCTATTGCCATAAGGATCGGCCAACTATATCCGATGTTTGGGATATATATCCGGTTTTAACTGCAAGGGTATATAAACTTCGGCTCCGCCCGAAGTTAGCTTTCCTTTCTTGTTAATAATAATTACTTTAAACGGTTTGGGCGTAGCAATTGTAGAAAACATGTCCATAGTTCCTGCCAGAAAGTGTCGGTGACACGCCTTTTTTTTAATACCTAAGCTTATGAAAAACCAAAATAAAAAAACCAGACCTTAATATTATTGTTTGTTTTTAAGTTATATTTTTTTGTTATCCACTTTTATATAACTTTGGAAGACATAAAATCTAGTTCCGCCCAGAGGTGGCGGTGCCACGCCTTTTTTCTCAAAATATGTTCCTTAGCTTACTAAGAACCCAAATCAAAAAACAGAACCCAAATATTTTGTTTCGTTTAGAAGTTATTAATTTTGGCCAGAAAAAGTGGTCATCCGGCCTATAGTGCACCGGTATTTGTTGTCGGTGTGTGGGTACTTTGTTGTGTGTGCGTGTGGCCCGTGTTGCCATGGTTAATGCGTTTGTGTGAGTGGTTGTTATTTCCCCTCTCGAGCCGGGCTGGTGGCCTGCCCACGAAATTTCATAATTCAATTTTGCCGTTACTTTAACAAAGGCATTGCCAGTCCTAAATAAGCTAAGCAAAAGCTTTCGCGTTTGATTTAGCGGCTTTTTTCGAGGTGGTAGCTTTTCCCAAGCTTCGATTGCAAAAGGACTGGCTTTGTTTTGGGGAAACAACTTGTTCTTTCTTTGTGAACCAACACGAAAATATGCTTCAAATTTTATATTCGGATTTTTCATTTAATAATTAATGTGCACATATTTCAATCGATATATGTACATTAAATAACCCAAAAATGTCAAAATTTCATTAAAGAGCTCTGCCTTTAAAACCTCAATGTAAATAATTAATGTTCGACCTTAATAGCACAAATTACACAGTTTTTGTGTCCATTAGGCTATCAATAAGCATCTCATTCCCGTTTTAGATGCCAGCTTCGTATCTAATTGCTTTATAAATGATCGATTCACGCCATTTCCCACCCATATTTTGCCCAAAATCGGCACCACATGGATTTGGCTGAGAATTTGTTTGTTTTTAATGACAACGGATTGACAACGTGCAACGCAAACACCAGCAACTACTATAACAACACTATTAATAACTAAACTACAAGAAAAACAACCCCGTGCCCGGTCAGTTCCCTTTCCAAGCCGGTAGATCCTTCGTTGCCAATGTCAACCGTCGCCAACACCCCAACAGGCCCCACTGCTCGCTGGCGTAAGCGGCCCCCTCCCGTCCATTGTCTTCCGTCGGCTCGCGCATGTAAAAATTTCAACTACGCCTTCAGCCCGTAGAACTCCGGGCGCATATAAACAAAGTTTCAGAATTATTCGCAGCCAGCGGACGCGGAAAAATCGTCTCGCATTACGCGTGTGAAAAAGCGGATTAATCCAGTGAAATGCGTAGGGCCTAAAGCACATTTAAGCCTTATTTCCGAACAATTAATGAGCGCTTGTCTATGGACAAATGGTTTGGCGAAAAACGTCTCTGGCTGTTTGGTAATCACCTTCCACTTCTGCCCAGAAGGTAAGTTTAAAGTCGGAATATATAAATAATATTAATCCAAATATAAGCTAAGCCATTGCATTGCTATCCTCAAAAATGTTTGCATTGTTTGGTCTGAACTTGACTTGCTGATTGGCCTTCGGATAGACTGTTTTCGAGGGTTATGCGGTATCCTTAAAGTGTATTTCAAGTTAACGCGAAGCCTTGGCGGCAGCCTTGTACGTTTGGGTTATTTTTAATATCAACAACGATATTCTTTTACGATTTGCCGGTAAAATGTAAACATTTTTACACCTGTTACTCCTTGGAGTGGATAAAATATAATATTTTAAGCTTACAATTCCAAAAAAAGTGGCGAATAAGCGGATTAATTTAATCAATTATGAATAATTATTGTTAAACTTTGTTTTTTCTCTATAATACAGATTAATCCTTTTATTCAATTGTTCACCAACGCTTGGAGCATAATTTAGTGCATTTTAAATGAGTGTCATTCCACTCAAACCCCAAACTCATAATCGATAGTTTAATAAACTTTAGCAAATTAAGGAATATCCAAACAGACCAGAAACTTTTCCAGCCAGAAAAGTGAACTGGCAAAAGACAAAAAAGAACTTCAATCAAATTCAAATTCAATTAAAGGGAATATGTGCAAAAAACAAAAAAAATCTAGGATAGACGGGGTCCAATCGAACAAAAACAAAAAGGAAATCAAGTAGACAGACATCAAATTGCATTGAATGCGTCCGTTGGCTTGTTTTACTTTTTTGTTTGATTTCTGTTCCCAGCCACCCCATATTCTCCACCCATCACTACCACTACACACCACCACTACTCTCCATCACAGACTGGCAATTCGGAAAAAGCGACTCCCAACAAATATTGCATACTTATAGGAAGCGGAAGTGGCAGCTTATGATTTAGCGGTTTTTAATGCCTCTGCTCCAAAGAGACGGAGAGGAGACCTGTCAACGCCATTTGCGCTTTTGCTTTAGCGCTCCCAAAGCAAAATAAACATATAGATAGAAAACACATTTTTGCTGCAATATTTGTGTTTGATTGAAATCATTTTTGGACCGTCTGCTCTTGGCCAATTTTGCTATGTGTTAGCACTGTATATGTTCAAGAGTAGGATTGGAAGATTAACAGAAACAAGAGTACCAAAATGAAGTCCCCGACACTTTAATTTTGTGTTTCGATTTATGAAAATCCTAAAAGCAAGCAAAGAAGCTTTTAACTCAGTTGTTCGAATGCCAACTTGCAGAAGGGGTTTCCTAGAAAATAAGTTCCATTAAATTATGGCCAATACTGTTTCGCAGAACTACCTTTTTCTGGATTTTTCGCAAAATAACCTTAGCCAGCCGGCATTTGACAGCCGTTCCCATTCTCACAGCAAATCTCACCACTATTACGTTTTTTTTCTAAATGATTGAAACCCCTCAGCCCCGTGCAACAATTTCCGTCCCTCTGTTTGGGGGCCCTGATTCTGATTTCGTGAGCTCCGATTTTGTCAGACGGTAGCTAGGATCTGTTGGCGAAACTCTCACTTCGCGCATAATGTTTTCTTTTTTTTTTGGTTCATTTGCATGTATTTCTGTGCCTCCCCGCCGTCTATTTTCTGACCCAAAAAAAAAGAAATCCTTTTGGAAAAAAATGCTATTTCGCCGGCACGTAACACGTCAGAATGAGGCCTGCTTCTCGCCTGTCGGCGGTGCAAAATGGCAATCTTTGCATAAAATATTCACGATTTTCGATGCATTTTTAAACATATATCGATAAAATAAGCAGACAGGACAGAGACCAAGTAAGCCTTAGTCATCCTTAGTCGACCTGGGACTGCAGTCGTTCGTCGGAAGCGCCGGGACGGGAAATGTTTCAGAACTACTCGTACTATTTACCGCAAGCCCTACAGAACTCCTTTCTCTACCGTCTCATCCAAAAGATCCAGGTGTGCAATGAGGCCGAATTAGTCGAGGCCAGAGAGTCCAGGTGGGTATAGCCTCCGTGGGCCTAATTAGCCAACTTTGCCAACTTTTTGCGGAGTGAAAGTGAAAAATGTTGCAAGCCGAACTGAGGATAAACTTTTTCCCAATGACATTTAAATCGGCGAGGTGGTGTTGCACTGTCCTTGGCCTTTGCACACGCAGGACTTTTTCACCCACCGCCTCACCCCCCTCGACAAATCCGCCACACTGGTTTCTGCAAAATGTATCGCTTTTCTGTACAGCCTTCCCGGTGCGTGTGCGAACATTTGGCATTAATAGCTTGTTATTTATTGAACTTTACGGTTGTTTTTCCCACAAGGCCACATCAACACAACATTACAGCCTGCAACCCCTTACACCTGGAAAGGTGTATGGGATGGTATGTTCCAGAACGGCTGCCACTCCTTGCGAGGACACGTTGCATTTATAGTTTGGCTTTTTATAGTCTAGCGGATTTATTTATGAAATACTCGTGAATTCAAGAACTTTTTCGTGCTCTTTTTTTGCAAAGGGTAGTTTAATTTTTGTCAAAAAGAATTTTGGTCATTTGATAAATTATATATAATATATTCTTGATGACCATTGCCTCGTGAATCGCCAAGCAGTTTTCTATATAGCTTAAAGATTAGTAATTTCATATCCTTAGTGTTTTTAAATATAGAAGATTTTGAGTTTCTACTGATGATAAGGATAATCCTATATAGTCCCAATCCCAATCCAATACATAATTCCTCCTCATTCCTCCTGAAATTATATTCTCTCCACTTTACAAATATAAAAATTCGATACCTTTGCTACCATTTAATATGGAAAAACCCATAGCGCTGTAGCCTCTTTTAGTTCATGTTTTCTGCACACACTTTTACATCAACAAACTTTTATGGTCTTTTGTTTTCACGCTAATTTTCCAATAGCAATCGGCTTACAAGTAGTTGAATTGTTCCGCACTTTTATGGTCGGCGAATGGAGCGTTGACCCCCAGAGTGAAATGCAAAAGTTCGCGCTAAGAACCATGAATTAATTTGGCGAGCAAACAACCCGAACAATACAAACAGAAAATATAATTAAAAGCCGCAAGAGGCGGGAATAAAAGAGAATTTTGTAGTGCCGACGCGGGAACAAAAGCTGTCAAATCTATTAATAGGCATGGGGTGGTAATTATGCAAATTGATTGCAAAAATCCACCTCAACCGCATTTCAGTGGCTTTGTCCTTCCACGGTGCGAAAAGGTCAACCGTTGAAGACAATCGGAGTCTTGGAAAAAAGTGAGATTAAATAATTTGAAATACACTTTCTTGACCTCTGCTACCGACTGACTGTCCATATGCGTGATATAACACCGTAATTCATATTAGACGCCACTTTCGTGCTATCCCATTGCATTTTAATGCATACTTAATGCAACACGCGATCTTTCGCCGAGTACCAAAGAGAATAGAAAAGCTGGGGAATCAAAGTCACCAACGTCCAACACGGCGTATACTAAATACATACTGTGTCCCTCAGTGCATTTGAGGCAAAAGCAACTCCGCTCGAGCTCCTGCCAGACGTGTTTTTGGACGAAAACCTTCAGTCGTTTGGCGGCTCTTAGCGTCTGTACATCGTGTTCTTGTGCCGGCTCCCTTCTTGCTCTAATAAAAGTGAATAAATATAATAAAACCATTAGGGTTCTGAAAAGAGACCATTAATGAGTTGGAGTTCAAAGGAAACTCCCTAGTGTATTCAAAGAAATTCATAACTGCAATGAAAATGTTTGACATATCCAAGTTTTTTTCTCTGCGAAGGTAAGACTAAAGTATCTAAAGGATTTCAAATAGTTTACCGACTTAATAAGCGACTTGATTGAGCTATTAAAGGACACCCTGCACGCTCTACCCACCGCACTAAGTTGGCTCATTGCACTTCTCAAGCAGTTTGACTTAAAACCCAGTTTTCAAGGTACTTTTGCCTCGCCTCTCTGGAAAACTCCAGATAACCCCAAGTTGAAACCAAAGAAAGGCAGAGAAGTATTCCTCAAATACCTTCCGGTGGTCGCTAACAAAAAACAACAAATAGGGCGACCAAAGCAGGGCGAAACTTCTTAAATAACTTTGGGGCAACTGCGCATGTTTTGTTGTGGTTTTTGCTGTGTTAACTTTGGTCGCATTGCTATGACATTGGCTAGCGGGTTGGGGCCGGGGTGGTGGAGTCCAGAGACCTGAGCTAATACCGAATAGAACTTCCTTCGATTCAGTGGTTGGTTGTCACTCAAAATAAACGTCTGTCCCAACGGCCTGCCAATTCCGATTCCGATATTTTATTGATCGTCGTCAACAGGAAGTAGTAGAGTAAACCTGGCGCATGGTGTGTATTCTAGAATTATTACGAATCAATAGAAACTCTAAATCAATTCATCTGAATTTTCATACGAAAAACCTAGTTGCAAATACGTCAAATTTTAGCCAGATGGGTGCCTAGGTAAGTCACCTGCTTTCCGAACTTTACGTGTCCTTTGTTGTTCGTTTCTGTGTTGGTTTGCTCTCTCACATGAATATTTAATTGCATGTTATGTTTATGACTCACTCACATGTTAGATATTCCACGGAAAGCCTCCAATGAAGTTCAGTCACCTTACCTTGAACTGACAAAATCATGTATTTCATGTACATGTAATTCCAATCCAATGGAGGTCAATAATTTCCGTGGAAATTTTTCATTTATTGATGTATTATTGTGGCTTATATTAAGTTTCCATTTGTATCCTTTTTTCCAATTATTTCTTAAGCGAAAAGGAGCTCTTCTTTAATGTTTTCTTTATCATTTCATCGAATCGCAAATCATACTAAACCCATACAACCAACAGCGTTCTGGACAACCCCATAAACCCATAGATAAGCTTAACCAAAATTGTACATAAACACATCAAAATCACCGAAGCATTCACGATTCGAATGCCAGAACGAAACCATTCCATTCCATATACTACTCACACGAAAGCCAATCCGCCTTTTGTGATCTGATCCCATATGTGTTCGTGTCTGGGCTACCAAACCGAAAAATTTGTAAACATTTTATGTGCTCAATGCAAAGCAATGCGACGTGCAAACATCAAACGTGGTCAATGTTTGAGCTTAAGGTAAAAACCCACTTTCGACTCTAAAATATTGCCAGCCGCACCCCAGCTGGAAATCTCGGAATAACTTCTTTGTCCATTTTCTTTCAGACCACAAGGTAGTAGTAAAATGGACCGCTACGAGAAACTCAGTCGGCTGGGCGAGGGCTCCTACGGCGTTGTCTACAAGTGCCGGGATCGGGAGACGGGTGCTTTGGTGGCGGTCAAGAGGTTTGTGGAGTCCGAGGATGATCCGGCCATCCGGAAAATTGCACTGAGAGAGATAAGGCTACTGAAGGTTAGTTGATGCATGAAAATGCCTTCGAACAATTAAATTTTTATAATAATTTTCCTGCAGAATCTGAAGCATCCAAACCTGGTGTCCCTACTGGAAGTGTTCCGGCGAAAGCGTCGTCTGCACCTGGTGTTCGAGTTCTGTGAGCTGACCGTACTCCATGAGCTGGAACGCCATCCGCAGGGCTGCCCGGAACACCTGACCAAACAAATCTGCTACCAGACGTTGCTGGGGGTGGCCTACTGCCACAAGCAGGGATGCCTGCATCGGGACATCAAGCCGGAGAACATCCTGCTGACGGCCCAGGGTCAGGTGAAGCTGTGCGACTTCGGGTTCGCCCGCATGCTGAGTCCGGGGGAGAACTACACAGACTACGTGGCCACCAGATGGTACAGAGCTCCGGAGCTACTCGTGGGCGACACCCAGTACGGCACCCCCGTGGACGTGTGGGCCATCGGTTGCCTGTTCGCTGAGTTGGTGAGGGGTGAGGCCCTCTGGCCCGGCCGGAGCGATGTTGACCAACTGTACCTTATCCGAAAGACCCTGGGGGACCTGCTGCCTCGACACATTCAGATTTTCGGACAGAACGAATACTTCAAGGGCATCACCCTGCCGGTGCCGCCCAACCTAGAGCCGCTGGAGGACAAGATGCCGCCCAAGTCGCTGCAGAACCCGCTGACCATCGACTTTCTGAAGAAGTGTCTCGACAAGGATCCGGCTAAGCGATGGTCCTGCGACAAGCTGATAAAGCATTCCTACTTCGAGGACTACATCGCCAAGCAGCGGGAGTTGGAGCATGCCAACAGCCTGGAAGCAGCCTCTTTGCGGCAGCAGCAGCTCGCCTCCCAGCAGTTCATGCTTGCTACGGCGGCCCAGCAGTTGCAAACGGGTCCCGCCCAAGCGGCCGCAGTTGCCGCATCTCGTGACAAATCAAAGGTAAGTCATTTCCTTGAAAGTAACTATCTAGGATGTGTGAGACAATATCCTTTCTTTCTTATAGACTTCAAACACCTCGTTGCCGCTATTACCAAGCACAACACATCATCACCATCCGCATCAGGATTTTATGAAACTGCAGTCCCTGAACAAGAATGGAACCCTCCTCCATCGTAGTGAACACCATCTGCCCACAATTTGAGTAAAAGTTGCAACCAAAAGTGTCCTTATTTTACAGAATTTATATTGTTTACTGCTAATAATAAAAGGATAAGAGTACTTCAAACGTATACATGTGATGGATTTTTTAGGAGGGGTATTAGTTTAACATTTTTTATTTTTTTTTTATGGTACAAAAGTTTTAATTAAATTATAATTGAAGTTGGGCGTGCCCCAAGTGGCAGCTCGGAAAACATGCAACTGCCAACACACTGCTCTGAAAATCTCTGGAGGACAAGTTATATCCAAGGGGTCGGGACTTCAAAAGGCAAACAATATGGAAGGCAGAGTGTATCGTCGAATGCCAAACCTAGATTTTTGCCTTTATCCGAGACGGTCCATTGCAACCGCCACCATTTGTTGGACGCTTTTATTTTTTGTTATTTGACCAACACAATGGTCTGCCAAGTTATCTGCATCATTCCCCTGCTCGGTTCCATTTATATCTTCTATTTTTCGGTCGCTGTGCACTTTGTTGGCAATGTAAAGTAAGAAAAAGCATTTGTACGTCGAACTATTGAAGCCATTGAAGCATCCCACTTCTTGTCCGACCAGAGGATATGCAAAGTGTCTCCCAGACAGTTGCATAATCTGAAGTGCCGTTTATGCAAAGTGTTCACCAAAAATGAAAAGGGAAACCTCGAGTCCCGGCGGGAGCGAAGGATATTATGGAGGCGGTGTCTCTAAATTGTTAACTTCTCAAAAGTGCGGAAAGCAGAAATCAAAGTTTTATTTAATAACTTATAAGGCATTTTGTAGTCACGTTGCATAGGCACTTTACTCAGCCAGTTCACAGTTGAGATTGAATTGGAAATGCCACTGACTTTGGTTTTTCGAATAAAAGATGTTTTATTTGCTTGAAATTTTTATAATGGGATAAAAATGAGAATGGGAGTAAATATAATGTCCTCTCCAGAAACTAATACCATCTTTGCATCTGCGTCTCGGCGTACCGTCGATTCAGGGCATTCTTTCGCTGCACTTCACCACCTACTCCGTTGAGAAGCTCCCTTGGCTGCCAGTTGCCGTAGACGGACGGGTCCTGCACCTTGTCCGTGTCCGTGTCCAGGGCCTGTTGCTGCCACCACTTGATTTGGGGCTGGGGGTAGCGCGCTCTGACGGGAATGACGGACACCACTGGCGCCGGCCGGCGGGGCCAGAGACCCAGCTTGCTCAGCCGCTTTTGTTCATCGATGTCGGTCTCGTGCATGCTCATGTCGTGCATATTGAGAACCCGGAGTGGCTGATGGGAGTCCTTGCTATTGGTGGTTTTCAGGACTAGCGGATGAAAAGGATCCTCGCCGTACAGCTCTCGATACCTTTGGCTTTGAACCAGGCTAATTATTTGGAACATGGCCACGATCGTGATGGTATTATAGCCCACAAATACTAAGAAATTATTCTTGTATTAAAATAATATAGAAAGAGGACTCCTTACTTACAAATATAAAAGCATCCAACCAGAGTGAGAATTATAAGAAAACCCAAGTTGATCTGTTTCTTAAGCATGATCATCATTACGATATGTAGGATCGTAAAGTTTATAAAGTAAATAATCTCAAACAAGGCGAGGGGAAGTAAAAACCACTTCTTTAACTATTAAAATAAGTGAAATATTTAATGAAAATAATTTTATATCAATGAAATACCTTAATAGAACCCCAAAAACTTAAAATGGCTGCTGCAATGTGCAAATAACATCCTATTTGGAAAACTAGAGAAGAACTGTCGGGAGCTGAAAACTCAAATATTATAAAGTAGAGTTTGAAAAGGGTGATTCACTTACAATTCTCCATCCAGTTGATAAATATTCTAACGTACTTTCGGTCTTTATACTCGGCATCTTGTTCGAATAAATCAATCAGAGGCTCAAACAATTTTACCCCCATCATGAACAGGCAGATACTTAAGGCCATAGCCCGAAACTAAAGAAGAAACGAATGGAATCAGGTTTAAAATATTAATTACCGGAACTTACAATGGTCAAAACGGCGACAATGATGACACCCAGTCGGACTGAGCAATAGCACATATAGGATTCCATAAATAACATATTGGAATTGATATTTTCCCAAATGTCAGAACATAAATCAAGGCGCAACTACCTGGGTCCACTAAAGCGCTATAGCAACTGTGGAAACGGATATTGGTTATGAATAACAAAAGCCAAGTAATTATCCAACAGAAAATGAAAAAACCATGTAAGAGATTCCAATCTAAATGCGCTAATGGAGCCAAAAGGCCAAACGCCTCAAATGCAACTTTGAATGGCGACCATTTATCATTCGACTGCCAAGCCGGAATGAAGTTGAACAAAATGCGTCGGAAAAACGAAAATGTATACCCAGTCAGGACTACGATATCATGGTGCTCATGGAGAGCTACTTCTTCTGCGCCTCGGTTCGTTTGGGTGTCCTGGTCATTTGTGCGGCAGCTGCTGTTAGTATATGGAAAAGGATTCACCTAATTATTTTTAAATTATTTTTAAATTCTTAGCTAAAAAGCTTCACCATTATGTGGCTGATCTTCAGTGATGGAAATAAATTCCTCTTCGCGGTGATTAACGTCTTTGAAAATTATTACAAGACCAATGCCATAGCTCACTCTTATATTAACTGGGTGGAGCAATGTAAGTAGCATCATAATGTTTCTTAATCCTTACTCTATAATTGGAGTTCAGATCCCAGGGAGCTGATGATGTTCTTTCAATTGTATAGTTTCTGTCATATAGTGTCTTGTATAATTGCTGCCTTTGGAGCCTATAAGGTGGGTTAATCTTAAAATTAATTAACTAAGCAGTTAATCCTTTTCAAATCTAGCTTAAAAGGTACCATGTCATACCTCTGGCAATATTTGAATTTATATACACGGTTCAGATAGTTGTCGTTGCCATTTTTACACTCCGAATGGTCAGACGCATTGTGCCTCTGGCAACCTTGATTCTTCTCACCATAATTTTAACCTTCTATGCCAGTAAGTATTTGTATAAAATTGTATACTTAAAAGTAATTTTCCTTTTAGTGCTTGTAGCCTATGACACCTTGGTTTTAGTGGCCTTTATACAAATCATGCATTTAGTGAGGACTGAGCGGTATCAAAGGCTGTACGGAAATGATCCCCTCAATCCCATATTGGATGGGATCCCTCAACTTGATCTGCTTGAAGGCTCTCCCAATGCCCCGAACCCAATTATAATCTACGTAATGCCCAAGCCTGGGCAAAAACTTTGGGATCAGCAGCCAAAAAAATGGTGGCAGTCTGAGAGAAACGGACCACAAGTTCGTAAGAAATCATTAGTTCAGGAAATATCGGCTGATTATTTTCAAAGAGAAGAACTCGTATCTAAAGTTTTGTTACGTAATGCCGTTAATGGGGATTATTGGAATCCGAAAAAGGTTACATCCTAGAAAGTCATGACAAATACCTCATGTTGTGAATTTGACAATAAAGATATATGAGTAGTGAGTTCTCTACTGCTCCATCAATTTCTTTCTAACTTGTTCATAAAATGTCTATAATTTGTGCAAAAATCGTTTTGGTGTTATGCATTTTACTGGTCTACCTTGCATTCCAATGGCTGGGCTATAATATTAAAAACGATTCGAGCCACATTAACATTGCAAAAGTAAAACCTAGAGGCCATATCCGTCAAAATGGAGATTATTGGGTGTGGAACAATTATATTATCGCTGATGACGTCTTCATTGGCAATGAAAGTATCACTTTAGCCACCCATGCCTCTTATGAAGATCTTGTCTATTTGCCTGAATTGTTAACAACGTAAGTAATTTTTGACATTTCTTAAAATTTTTAATTCCATCTTCCTTTAGGTGGGGAGGTCCCATTAGTATTTCGATCTTCGTCTGCGGCACAGACTTTGAAAAGACTATTGACTCGCTGCGCTATATATACACCTGTCTGACAATGAGATTTTACATGAAGAGGTATCTGACCATTCACCTAATTTTTCATGATCAGCACGTTCCGGAAATCATGAAATCCATGAAAATGCATGAACTCGCTAATTATAAACACTGTAAGTTGGATCCTGCCTTTCAAAATACCAGTTGGACCCAAAGTTATTGGCGGCGAAGGAAGCTGAATTATCCCAGGAATCTACTCCGAAACGTGGCTCGTATTAATATATTCACATACTACGTGCTTTCCATCGATATTCACATGTTACCTACTCCGGATTTTCCCAAAAAGTTTTTGAAATTTATCAGGAATCACGATACCTGGCGGTTTGCTGATATACCCGAGCCGTATACATCGTATTATAAATATAGTCAAAAAAAACGCCCAGATACTTGATTTTCCTGTTATAGGGTCTTCTGCCTACCGGTGTTTCCGATTCATTTATGGGACTTTGTGCCAAAGGACAAGCTCCAGCTTCGAAAACTTCAGGTGACACGGTTGTCAAGGAGGCAGAAGAGGTGGCTGGATGCTCCAAATCCTTATGATGAAGTCTTCATCTACGAGATTTCCAAAGAGACGGACTTTTGTGTGGTTTACGTGAGCATCAACGAATTAGAACCACTTTACGACGAACAGGATGAAAATGGTTCCATCCTTGAAGAGGACACAAACTTAAAGGTCGACTTTACAATGATGAGTTAACATATTTCAACCTTACCTTGAGATAAGTTTAAGAGAAACTATTTATTCCATATATAGTTGAAAACTAAGCTTAAATTTAAATATTAAAAACTTTAACAGAGATCCTGATTTAAATTTTGAAACTCTGTAATTCTATTTTTCATTACATTTTTTAATTTCAAACACCCTTGTCTTTTTCAAAATATTATAGCTTATAACAATAATTACGTCTTATAATTCATAACATTTATAACAAAACTTATGTTTTATAAGTATTACTACTAAACTAATAACTTATAAGTAGTATAAGAAATTCGAAAGAACCTTTTCTATAGTGCCAGTTTCTTGTTGACTTGAAGTACAACTTTATTGTTTTGGATGGGGTCTTTCTCATTGAACACATTCTCTGGAGGAAGTGGACGATCTTGAATTCAAGACGCCGTAAAAAGAGAGCTCTTAAATCCATTCGCAGGAGGTATATCTGGCATAGGTTCTATACTAAAGTAATAAGGTGAGTAAACTAGAACCAAATCTTAACTTCTAATCTAATATGTTCTTTAAAGTCTGGTGCCAGATGAATTTGCGCAACTTTGGAACACCCGTTTACGATCCTCATGGCAACGAAGATTAAAAGATGGCTAATAACACATTACATTAAAGTATTATAAAGGAACCCAACTGCTGTTTCATTGAACTTTGTAGTCAAAGTTGGTAGTCAAGTTTGGCATGCAGATTTGCTACCATACAACACATGATATTCCGGTCTGATTTTAACATTAATGAACTTTGTCATTTCCTCTGCGAATTTCTTCCGAGTAGCCGAACCTTCTGTGACTTTCTTGATGCCAGGACTGTGAACCAAAAATGCTGGGTGCAGTACGTGGTATTCATAACCCATCAGGCACATGGCATAGTTCTGAAGAAGACATCAATTATTTTGGTGTTGAATTTAAGGACTAGGCCAGATTTGAAGTACACTCACCTGTATGCGTTTGTTGGATTGTCCTTCCCACGTGACCCGCTCGTCAAACAGTGGCTCCGTGTTGTCGCTCACATAGAAGGGCTCCCAGTATCGGAACTGTTTCTCCCGCAAAGTATAACTGAAAAGTTTCAGTTGCTCCTCCTCAGTGTAAGGCTCCTTCAGCCACTCTTTCTGACGAGGCACCTTATGGCATGCGCCACATAACTTTTCATGAAAGCCCTGGGCCAGCTTCTTCTCATACAGTGCCAACAACTCGGACTTGTTGCTGGGCACCTCCGCTCCAGAGGCAATCTCGAAAACCGGCAGCGGGTAGACCCTTCGCGGTTGCAGCGGATCCAGAGCCAAGACACTGTGATTCTGGGCCACCATGTCGAGGAAGAGATCAACGAAGCCCAAACTGGGGTACAACTCAATGTCGGAAGCCAAGATGAAGTGAGTGTTGACCGCCTGCCTGGCTATGTTCCGCCCCACGTTGATCGGATAGGTGAGGTTGGCCGTGTTCTTGTAGCTTTCACTTCGTGGAATGAGGGTGTAGGGTGGAGGAACCTGGGTTCCATTGGCCAAAGTGCAGGTGTAAGGATGGCGCAGGACTTGGTCCATGTTGAAGGGAACCTTTTTCGGCATGTGATTATTAGGAAAGTATACATGAAAGGACACCCAGTCTTTGATGATCCCATCGTCATCCAAACAGTTTCGAACATACTGTATTGCATCCAGGGTGGCCTTTAAATCATAGCCAGGTGCATGAATGGCAAAGCTAACTGGTGCAAGCCACCTGTGAGAAAATATAGGTTAGTAAAGTTTATAATTATATGCAGGACAAGTCTTCATTACCTTTCAACCAGTGGCTTTAGATTATCAAAAAAGGAATAATCTCCAATGGTGGTATAAGTTATAGACTCGGCACAACCAATGTCGCGACTTTTTCTTCCGATAACCAGATTCTGAAGCAACCAGTATCGTCCATGTTGGATTCTTTCAAAGCGAAGCGGTCGATCCCGGCACTTTAGAAACTCTTGTAGTTCTTTAGTTCTGGGAGAAATCTCCTTCGAGGGGCCTACATATTTGGAACAATCCTCTTCAACGGCAGCCCGTTCCTGCGATTCCCATAGGATATTCGGCTGACTGAGCTGTTGGGCCTGCTGAACGTTCCTCCACACCAGCAATAATGCGGTATTAAAGAGCAACACAATTGGAAACAGGCGGAGGAATCCTTTGGAGTTACAGCAAACCGCCGCCATGCTAAACATAATACGAATAGCTATTATATTATACTGTTCAATGTGAAAGTCATCCAATAACTGGGGACAAAATGCCTCGAATAAAAATAATACATTAACGTTACCCCTTTGGTAAAAGATAATACAATCTACGGTTGGTATGAGAAATCACATTTCTGACTGATGGGGGTAAAACTCATATATACATAATGTGTGAGCCTAATTTAGATTTGCTATTTGCCTATATGCACTACAGTTTTTAATACCCATCCAACCAAGTTGAGACTTGGGTATTTTTTGAGTTCCAATAACAAAAATAAAGAGTTCATAAGATTACACCTCTTAAGGATTTAAGTTTTTGTTTCATTTAATTTTAAAATAAAATTAATGTAAAAAAAAAAAAGATTAATAAACAAAGCAATTTAATCATTAATCATTATTGTACTTATATACTTTCTATTTCTGCTATACCACTTGAAACCAAATCTAATCTACTTTGTACTACTACTAAAGAACATTTTAAATATAAACGTTTTTTATTTATATACTCATAAGATATTTAATTAAATATTTTTTTTAACCATTAACTAGATCGTGAAGCTAAAAATAGGCTAAAAAAATGTACAAATTCATATTCACTTCTTACTATGAATCTCTATAAAAGTTCATTATCTCTATGAACCTCACATGTTAACTACCACATCACTTACACAAAAATGAACCTAAGGCGCCAATTCAGAAAAGATTTTTGAAATATTTTGATGCAATCTAGTCCAATATGTGAAACACGCAATCCACCAGATATTGTTTTTGAAAAGCTTTTTATGAGATTTATGTTTAACTAACACTTTTATAGGGGGAAAGAAGCGTACCGGGTGTCATATCGTAGAGAAACTAGACTATATCCATTCTTACTCGTTTTTTAAATAAAAAAGTTGAGGCACTGCTGACAACGCCAAGCTCGTACAATCATCACCCCGTCAATGAAACGACTAACTATCTGACCAGTGTGTAAACCAGACGCGATCGAAGTAAATGGGTTTGTCCCGCTTATCCATCAACTTATCAACTTGGGAATATTTATTTGTTATCACTCGAACGTTTCTTTCCGATTAGATTTGGCTCAATCACTGATATCACAGCTGCATTGCGTCCACCAAATAATTTTCTAAGAGATTCAAACCTTGGGCTAGGGCTAGGGTTCTTGCACGGACTACCGAGAAACATTTTTCGATTAGGGACTTTATTTCTAAGGATCACCTTCTATTGGCGTAAGCCCTATATTAAAGTTGTTTTCATTTTTGGTTGAATCTTTCAGTTTGCAACCTTCTGCCCAATCGGCGATACAGCAACTAATGCTGTTCCATTCCTAAAATAATCTACTGCGGGTGCTCCACGGATGCCGGATATTCTAAAGAACGATAAGGCCTTCTAAGGATTACACTCAGTTTCCAAAAAAGTTACGATAAGCAGAAGAAATTCTAAATTTGGTTTTCACTATAATTGGTCTTTCCCCATTTTTGAAGGGGATCGTCCAGAAAATTTGACAAAAAATCTGAAAAATAATTTGATCTTGGGTTCTGATGCAGATTTAAAGGAAATCCCATCACAAATCGTTTAAGGTATTCCGCTTATGAACCGGATGATTATTGGCAAAGATATAGCCATCGGAGTGGGCCAAAAAGTGCCCTCATGCATTTTTCCCATTTTTGAAGGGGATCGTCCAGAAAATTTGTCAAAAAATCTGAAAAATAATTTGATGTTGGGTTTCGATGCAGATTTAAAGAAAATTCCATCACAAATCGTTTAAGGTATTCCGCTTATGAATCGGATGATTATTGGCAAAGATATAGCCATCGGAGTGGGCCAAAAAGTGCCCTCATGCGTTTTTCCCAATTTTGAAGGGGATCGTCCAGAAAATTTGTCAAAAAATCTGAAAAATAATTTGATGTTGGGTTCTGATGCAGATTTAAAGGAAATCCCATCACAGGTTTAAGGTATTCCGCTGAGTGAGCCATATAGTGCATTTTCATATGCATTTTCTCTTTTTATGAGATTTATGTTTAACTAACACTTTTACAGGGGAAAAGGTATTCCGCTGATTGAGCCATATAGTGCCCTCATGCATTTTCTCGAAGTAAGACGCGATCGAATTAAATGGGTTTGTCCCGCTTATCCATCAACTTATCAACTTGGGAATATTTATTTGTTATCACTCGAACGTTTCTTTCCGATACGATTTGACTCAATCACTGATATCACAGCTGCATTGCGTCCACTAAATTATTTTATAAGAGATTCAAACTAGGACTAGGGTTCTTGCACGAACTACCGAGAAACATATTTCAATTAGGGACTTTATTTCTTCGGGTATTAAGTCAATTTTAATAACTTAAAATATCTTTTGATTGGCGTGAAGCTTACATTAAAGTTGTTTCGATTGTTTCGAAGTTGAGCAACTAATGCGTCACGTTTCAATTCCTAAAATACTGAACTGCGGGTTTTCCACGGATGCCGGATATTCTTAGGAACGATAAGGCCCTCTAAGATTAACACTCGGTGTTAAAAAAATTTACGATAAATATAAGAATTCATATTAAGTTGGTTTCCACTATAATTAATTGGTCTATAATTGCTCTTGCACCAGTCGTTATGCCTATTTTAACTTTCTTTCCCATGGAAGACAAACCTTAAAACCTAAATAATATCCTTTATCTGGTCTAGCATACAATTCAAAATTGTATTCAGAAGAACAGATTTGAGGATTAAAACTATAAGAACTTTAAGTACAAAAACTATAACTTCCGATAAATATATGTTTTTTTTTTGACCGCAGCGCAAAATTGATGTTTTTTAAGAACATATTATTTCCCGATTTAATTTTTGGATCCCGGGACTAACCATTGCCGAACACTCAGAAACGACTGGTGTGAGATCGCAAAGAGCGTTCCCAATCCACTGATTTTCGTGTACACTGAAAATAAATTATTGACAAAAAATATTTTACTATTTTACCTTACTATTGTTAGATTCTTTTAGTTGCAATAAGCACAATAATTATAAAATCATCAAGTCTCCCGCAAAATACTTTTAGAGAAGGAGGTTGGCATAAGATATAAAAGAAATTCAGATATATTATTCGCCCTACTTTTCTTTCAGTGAACACCACTACAGATGCAGTTCGTCGTGAGCTGGCCGGCCTGAACTAAATGTATGTTAAACATGTGTTTTCCCTTCCGCAAATTTTGCGGCTGGTTTGTACAGTAGCTTGGTCGTTATCTTTACTCCAAAAACTATTTGGGTTTTATGGTTATATTTTCTGCTACACCGAACTGGAAGTAAAATAAAAGGCAGTAATTGTTATCAACTAGAAAGAATTAGGAACTAAAACAATTTGAATGAAAAAAGTGAATAATTTTATAGAAAAAGCTACCAAATAATGGTGAAATATTCCATAATTTAATAGATTCCATTTTTGTAAAAACTATGTAGATATTTTTAAAACCTAATTAGTCAATCACATTGTAATGGTTTAATTGTTATCTATCTTAGACTAATTTCCGGTTGTCATTTAAAGGATTCCGGTTTGGGAGCGTTCTAACAGTTGATTGAGACCCACGGGTTGCCAGTTGGTGAAGCTTCCGTCGCTCAGCATACAAACGTTTCTGTCGATGTAGCAAAAGAGCTTGCCGACCCGGTAGATCTGCAACAAAGAACTTGGTTAAGAAAGAGATCTAGACCAAGGAATCTCATGTCAGCTCACCTGTTTTCCCATTTCTCTTCTCCCGGGCAGTGGAGCAAAGATAATGCCTAGCTCGGCACAGCGCTGCGATACTAGCTCCTTGAACTCTAGTTGGGCGGGTTGGTGCATCAGATCCATCATCATCACGGGCGGTATCATTCCCACAGGAACGGGTCCTGGGGGCACTGGAGGCGGAGGAGCAGACGTGGGCTGCAGTAGGGCATCGCTTGCGCGGTGCATCATGTCTAGAGCTCGCCGCAGGTGCTCCTTTACACTCGGCTCTCGGAGAACAGCCTCACTGAACATGTTCTTCCAGTTGATGTACCAGCGAGATATATCCGCATAGTCGGGCGACTGGTTCAGCCACATCACCAACATCTGCATCCAGCGCGGGAAGAAATGCTTGTCCAGTAGCAGGGCCATGTACATGGGATCGATGAGCTCGTGCCACTCCCACACTTGATTCCACAGCTCCAGATCCTGGTGTAGTGGGCTGATGACGAATTCGCTAAGGACTACCTGCAGTTTGGGAACAATGTGACGCTGAAGGAAGTCCTGCATCTCCTCGGGGGGAAAAGCTTGTTGCCACGGCGTCAGCATGGCTCTCGCCGAACGATCCTGCGGCGACCAGGCGCGCAAAGCCTCGCCGAGCTTGCTACGGATCTGCGGATATACTGCTTCCTCCAGCTTATTGCCCAGAATGGAGGACCAAGGCAGTACCCAGCTGTCAATCGGAACAGTATCTGTAAGGGGATCCCAGCTCTGAACCCCGGCGACCAATCTGGGCAGCACGAGCGTCTCCAGAACAGAGTCGAGAACCCAAGTGGGCAGCAAAGGAGCCCAAGCATCGAGAAGAGCTGCCATGGACGAGTGCTCCTTCGGTTGCCAAGCCTCGGCGCAGGCCCGAAACGAGGGCATAACCCCTGCCCAGATCAGCGAAGAGTAAGGATCGAACACATTTCGCTGCTCCTGTTGCGCGGGGTCGCCCGTCTGCAGCATTGCTCGCCACTTCTTCACCATGTGTATGGGCTCTGTGGGGTGCTCCAGTGGCCGCCACTCGGATAGTTCTATCTTCAAGAGTGGGGCGATTACTCCGGCTGCCAGATCCGCCAGGCCGAACTCCTGGAACTCAGCTGCATACTGCTCGAGCAGTTCCCGAAACAGTCGCTCCGCTTGCGGCAAACCGATTTCCGGGTCCTCGCTTAGCCGTTCCACGCGGTCCAGAACCTCTTCGAGGGTGCGTATATGGTTATGCTCCAGCTGCACGATTTCCTCCAGTCTGCGGTGCTCGGCCTCCAAGGCTACTTGCTGATTGGAGCAGTCCCTTTCTTGCTTGTCAATGGCAATGATTTCCTGCTCGGATTGGCTCACCAACAGCTGCAAGTTGTGAGTCAGCTCGGGCATCGAGAACACAGAAGCTGGGGCAGGGCCGGCTCCCTTGTCTGATGGCTCGGCGTCGAAGAGTGTCTCCTCCGGAGTGATTTTGGCCTGGCCCAGCGCATGGTAGCCACTGAGAACTCGCTTCTCTGGCCCCGTCATGTCTATCACCGGAACGTTGCCCAGTTTCTTGCTGAGCTTTTCCGAAAGCAAGTGGCTGGACTTGTTGCCTTTGGCGATCACCTCTTCCACGGACTTGTAATAGTAACGTTTGCCTTGGCGCTCCTGTGTATCGGTGGCAGCGCCTCCCTTGCGCCACTTGTTCATTTGTTCCTTGAACTCCTTGGCCTCTCGCACATCCTCATCCACCTTGATGGCTCTGGCGCTTTTTCCTCCTATGCTGGCTGCTGTTTCTGGTCCATAGGCCCCGATGGCACCCCTACCTTTCCGCACGTGAGCCTGAACGGGCTGGGAAATGCCCTGCAGGTCCTTTCCCAGACCCTTGCCGGGCTCATAGCCCATCTGAAGGAGCAGCTTGGCGCCAATGCCGCGCGTGTGCTGCTCCCAGGCGCCCACGTTTCGGTCGCGATGTTGAAAGGTGGATTTCTCTGGTGCTTTGCCAAGAGAAGGCCGCTCCTCGTCCTCGGAGCTGTCTGAACTGTCGGAATCGCCCCGACGTCCGAAAGCGGGTCTAGAGTTTCCGCCCGAATCATCGCTGTTTTCTTGCTCCTCTGCATCCTCCCCCTCCTTAATTGCGTCCTTCTGATCCTCTCCCTTAATCCCCTTTTTGTTTTTCTTACCCGCCTGCTGTATGCCGCCGGCCACAAAGTTCACGGGCATGGTGTAGTCCTTGGGTTGGCGGGTGGACCGCCCCCTCCGCTTCCTGCCCTCTCCACCGCTCTCCTCATCGCTCTCATCTGCCCAAATACCTAGAATCCGATATAAAAAATGTAAATTCAAGGAATCAAGAAGTAAGAGGCTGATGTTACCGTAGATCATCTGCTCCTTGGTGTTGCGACCACGCGGCCTGTTAATATTAAACTCATTGTCCAAGTCATAGTCCGTGACTTCAAAGCGTTCATACTCGTTATCCGACATGGTTTACGAGTTATAATAAATTGCCGCTAATAACTAAGAAAATCTAGTAAACAAAACCTATTGGTATTAGAGATGGACTTGTGTGCAGGGCTGCCAACTCGTACGAACTTAGAATAAGTTGAAAAAGCGATAGAATTAGCGAAGAAATTGGAATGGTTGCTAGAGAAGCGTGATTAGAACAAAATATACATATTCTAAGAGATTAAATATTGTTGGGAAGTTATTCAGTTGGACACTTTCAGCCAAAACAACTACTTTAGCACACCTACCAACACTGCTTTTTGTGATTTGAAGTCTCCCTGTTATCGATTGAAAAGTTATCGAATGCATGGTGGGACCGTTTCCGGGAAACTTGATTTCCTGACGCGTTTTCCAGATTTAGGGCCTGCATTTTGAATCGCAGCTGACCAAGAACCCTGAAACGCATCAAAATCACTCAGCGACGCGAGGCGTCAACAGCCAACGCACCAAAAAATAAAAATGCAATAACATCGGTGATAAAAACAACTGCAACTTGAAGCAAACGCGCCTAACGATAATAATCAGTACAACCAATTAAAACTCAAAAGCTGCACGTTTTCCTCTTTAAACACCACTCTCCTCACTGCACTCTCCCCTCCGATGCTGCGCCGCGTGTGAATGATTTAGGACGAAATGATTTAATTAAACTTATAAAAAAAAAACACAAATTAATTCGCAATTAAACAAATCCAAATTACCACGTGCGTTCGTTCTCTCGAGAAGTTACTTTGTTGCGTTGTTGTTGTAGCTGCTTTGCGTTTGTTTTGCTTGCGGAGCTCTCTCCACTCGGTTGGCTCTCTCGGCGCTCGGGGCCCGCGTGGGACTTTATTTTATTGTAGCCGGTGGGCAGCCGGTGATTGGATCACCTTTGGATTAGGACTCTCCACACCCAGCTGAAGAAATGGTGCAGGTGAGATACAAAGATACAGTGGCATGAGAAAGCAGGAGGCCCTATACAAGTATTTGGATTAAAATGGGCTTTAAACCTCTACTAGTTTTTGAATGAAAACCCTCAACAAAACCATAACAAAGTCATTTAGGGCTTAGATTAACTCAATTAGTTGTCCTTTTTGTGGAAAACTGGGGGGTCTTTGTTCTTTTCAAGGGTTGCAGATCTTAAAACTCAAAACCTATCACAAATAGAGTCTATTTATAAGTAAGAGTAGCAAGTTCTCCAGATTTTGACTCGCTTATCCCATCAACAGACCCCTTTGTTTGCAACTCCTAGATTATCATATTTGAAAACACTCGGGATTTGTTCTGAGGATCCTTCCAAAAGTTGCATTTCACCCTGTGGGATAGTGACTGACATTTTGACGCAACCGTGCGACAACACCCCACCATCCCTTACTGCACTTCCCAGGGACCACCCCGTACGAACGGATTCGCGCCTCACCACCCCAACCCGCCTCGGCCAGAACACAATGCAGCTTCCACCCTGCCGCTGTCCCATGTGGGAATCCACCACCAAAAACCTGCAAATCCCAAAATATACGCTGCCGATATACAAAAACTCCCGATGGGGTTCAAAAGTCACAGGGAAAAATTGGCTATTAGATATGGCTAGGCCCGGGAATGAGTCCGAGTCCGAGTCCGGGTCCGGTCCTCTCGAAGCGTAATGAACACGAAAACGTTGCATTTAGTCAATTTTCCATCCACCATGGTCGGTGACAGGCACAGAAGTCTCACGATTCCACGATGGGTTGGTCTGCCGACACCCTATAGTTACCATTAAGTATTAAAAGCTATTATGCTTTTTCTATATTAAAATCTTTTACAAATGCTTGTAGTAACTAAATAATATTTAAAATAAAAAATAATATAAAAGGTAATACCCTCTATTGCTTCCCCCAAGTCGAGACCACTTTCTGGGTGCCCTGTAAGCAGGCTTATGTGGCAGGACGAACTCTGGTTAGTTACCTGTCACCGTCCCCCGCCAAATAAGTGAAGTTCCACTTTTCGATTTGAAATGCGTTTTGCGCTTGCCCCGGCCCCCGGTCCACCTCCCACCATACCTCCTGTCCAGTGCTGTCCATCGTCAAAGAGCATTTTGGCCATTTGCATTTGCAGTTGCCGATTCCCGGTCGAGTAGGTCCAGGCCTTCGTCCTTCCCCTGCATGGTGGTGGGTAGTGACTGGGTGGTTGGGTGGTTGGGAGGGAGGCCGTTTCACTGCTATTTGCATAGCGTTTTGGCCTGCGTTCAATAGCCTGATGTTTGGCCAAAGTTTGTTGTTGTTCTGCTAGTTGCTGCAGCTGCAGCTGCAACTCTCTTCTGTGGATAATGGCAAAGTGGAGCAGGATAGGGGGGCAGCGCGCACCATGCCTCACGCCTTCGCAGGCCCAGGCCATGGATGGTGGCTTGTGTAACTCTATACAGGCATGGATTGCACTCTAATCAGGCCAATTAAAGTAATGTGCAAGATCTTAGGCTCCAATAGGGGTTTTTCCAAAAAAAAATAATAAAAAATAAAAAAGGTCTTGAAATCCTACATGAAGTAGTCTTGCTGCTCAGACTCTCGATATTCAGGATTACTATAAATGGTCCTCAGTCTCCGTGACGGCCGAAATGGCACTACCCTCCACACGGAGGAGTTCATCACGAGGTTCCTAATCGAGCAGCACTCGCAGCGGCTCGCCCCCTGGCGATTAGGAAGCATCGCCAGGTGACTTCCCCCACCGAGGAAGTTGGCGAACCTCTGCGGCTGGTGGAGCTGCGACACCTGCTGCCGCGTGGGCGACTCCCGGTGCAGACGCTCCCGCATTCCGGCGAGGGCCCGCTGCGTCTCGAACGCGGCCTGGGCCCGGTACTGCTCCTCGCTGAGGAACTGCCGCATGTTGGGGGGCAGGGCGCGGCGGCGCAAGAGCTCGAAACAAGCCCTCAGTCGCGGCAAGAGCCACCAGAGCTTCGGAAGGAGGCATATCAGGCACACACAGGTCCATCCGAATCCGCTGTGATCGGAGGAACACAGGATAAGCCAGTAGCCCAGAGTCTCCAGCAGTCGCTGGTGCAACTTGTGGCAGCGTTCGTACCTCCAGATCCACGCGAGCCGCGTGCAACCGTGCAGGAACAACCACGCCCCGCCCACCAGCGCCAGGGCCACCAGCACAGGGCTCCCCTCCAGCGCGTACTTGAAGTTCGCCCTCAGAGACCAGTCATCCCGGATCTCTGGGTCGCTATCCGCATACAGAGAGGCGACTATCACGCAGATACCTGCCACGTGGACTCCTAGGACCGCCGCGGTGCCGTACAGGCAGGTCAGCGAGCTGCCCAGGCAGGGGGCGCTCACCTTGAGCACCAGACCAATGATGAACAGGAGCAGCCGATCCGGATTGCAGGTGATCTCCTCCAGGATCAGGGCGTACGGGTGCTTCGTTTGGATGCCGTAGCAGGTGTGGTCGTGGGCGTAGAGCGGAATGTAGGGGTGCTTCGCGTCGTAGTTGGTGAGGGGCCTTCTCTTGGAGCTCTGGGTGGCCTGGTGGTGGGCCTCGTAGATCTTCCGCACCGTATCCTTCATGTATTGCCTGTACGTCCCGCCAGCCGGCATCTGAAGACGCAGTCTGTTCGTCTGGAAGGCGTTCCAAAGGCTAAACTTGCTGGGGCGCGTACAAAAGATTTGGATTTCCTCGTGGTAGTCCAGATTCTGGTGCATCCTCTGGCCATCTTCGATGAAGGGTTCGTCCACCCGCAGATATTTGACCATTTGGTCCCTGGGCCATGTCAGGAAGGCGTTTGTGGCCACTAGAAGGCTCAAAAATATAAGAAACTTCATTGAAGTATGGTAGAGTTGTTATGGAACAGGTTATGATAGCTTGGGTTTGAGATTAGACTTCAGAGCATGCTTGTAGAGATGTTCTAATTGCTTGCTAATTTGGAAGCATCTTCCAGATCGAGGCGGCTATAGGCAGTGGAGGAATCATTAATTAAAAGTAGAAGCCACCTTCGGGGCAGTTCCCAAAACCCTCTGCCAATTGCCAAGAAAGTCCAAGGCAGAAGCTAGAAACCGAGCAGAAGGACGAGTCCAACTCAAAGGATAACATCAGAAAAAGGCAAACTTGAAAGGCTGTACCATTCAACTGAAAGGAGAAAGAACGCAGATAGTTTTTCCTTCGGATTATGACCAAAAATCGAACTGGAATTTCCACAGTTTCGGAGCCGCTCCTTGCCTTCTGATTCTGCCATGCGTTCGTTTAAAACGCATGATTTTTTTTTTCCATCCTCCATGTGTGTATGCATCTGCATGTGGGGGAGGGCGTGGGATGGTGGCTGGGTGGCCTGGTGGGTGGGCTGTGGGGTGGCGATGGGTAGCAGCCGGTGGCCTCATGCATTTTCCGTCTTTCGTATTGTGCGCAAAATAAATTGGTAAACAAGCAGAGAGCAGGCCGGCCAGAGCCACAGCCAGAAAGAGACAGGCTCGGGGACCCGGCCGAGTGGGACGGCAGATGGCCTGGCCTGGTCAATGGCAATACATGACATCCAGCTCGTACATAGTCCCCATGGCAGTTGTATTCACCTCGTCGTGCCTTCCCCCTCGTGCATTCTAGTGTGCTGGACTCCGGCTCTGGCTCCCAACTAATGCCTCCCCACCACCACGCAGCCCACCGCCCACCACCCACTCCCATCGACTCGACCGATACTCTGCCTACCCCCCTCGTCGTATATTGCATATCGTGCGTCTGTGGCATCACCATGGTTCTGTCTCCCCATTCCGCCCATCCCCCCTCTGGTTTTTATTTTCCTGCCTGCGAAATAGGCTGCGTTTCTGTCGCCGTCGCCGTCCTCAGTGACTGCGAACTGCCTCCATTTTCGCCAGCGCCGGCGACCACGACTCCCGATTTCTTCCCCAAAAATGACGCAACGCCTCGCCACGCCGACTCTGGCCCCCATCCAGATTCCGTACTCCCCCCCTGGCTGTGCACTTCCTCGCTTTTCCCCACGCATGTATTACCGCCGTTTACGTTGCTATTGTTGTTTTGGGGAACAATTTTTGCGCTGCCATTTGTGCACTGTAGTTCGAAATGGAAATATTATTATTATTATTTAAAAGGTTAGTATTAATTAAAATTAATACTATCCCTAAAGGTAAATCAATGGCAGCGAAGGCCTTCAGCTTACGGAATTATTATCTTTTAGGAATTTTTGGGAATACATTGTGGAATTTAAAAAACAAAAAACCAATTACTAATAATTTTTTAAAGAGGGAAATAATATTATATATGTTCTTTAAAGGTATTTTTGGTAATCTAGTATATCTTTAAAATTTATCAATACCCGATACTAAATTTCTCACAGAACCTCCCTAAAGATATCATCTAAAAATGGTGGTTTAATAAAATGATTACACCTACATACATATATGAAAACTAACTTGAATCTTTTCCGAGTTTTTGGGTATAAATTTTCAAATTATTATTTTTAAAAATATGTAATATTAAATTAAGAAAACCAGAAAAGAAAGCTCACTTCTCGCGGATCCGAAGTTAATATAACCTTTGCAGTTAAAAGATCTATCCCTATGAGAATATCATAATATAACCAATTTATACAATATAAATTTCAAAAATTAAAAAAAAAGTCCCAAGTCCCAAAAGTTTTCAAAATTGGAATTTTTAAATGAGAGGGTTATGGTTAATAAATGTTAATTACCCGATAAGGTTAATAAATTATGTTTTATGTATTATGTTTTTATATGATACCCAATACTTACTCTTATTATTTAAGTAGGAAAAGTGACAATTTTTATAAAAAAAATACTCGCAATTTCAAGCCAAAATATCCACTGTGCGAACCCAATCAGCTTTGGAGCTGTCGCTGCTGTGGCTGCTGCTGGTGCTGGTGCTGCTCTTGTTATGTGTGCCAGGCAAAAGGCCAAACGCATGTGTGGCCAGAACCCCACCTGCATCCCCATGAAGAGAGTATCCGATAGTATGTGCAGCACACACAACAGAGCCCAGGACACAGAGCACACAGTACAGGACGCTGTACATGATGGGTAAATAGGGAGCGAGCGAGAAGGACTGTTCGAATGGATCGAAGTGGCCACCCGGGCGAGTGGAGCGAGTGGGGCGAGAACCGAGCCTATGTACAGGCCTGGCCTGCACATGAGAGCAGAAAGCAGGCCCGACGGTGTGTGAGTGCACCAGTGCATGGGGTGGTGCCTGGTTCGGGATCGAACCTACGCATGTGGCATGTGGCATCGGCTGGACGCGGTAGCTGGACTCGGTAGCCTCGAAAGCAGCAAACGTATCGAATGCGCATCGAAACGAATCCAACGATGATTGTATTATATTGGCAGAGTTCACCTCCACAGCCGCCACCCTCTCCTCTCCAGCTGCCACCCCATGCCCATGCCGCCCACCTTTGCACATCCCCACAATTTCTGGTTGTCCATCAGACGTCAGTGGAACGGCGTGCACTTAACTGCCAGTGTGTGGGTGCGTGCATGTGTGTTTATGTGATGTGGCATGCCCCCCCAATCCGATGCCCCGCGCCAATACATATGCAGCAAATTGAATAAACTCTCAAATCAAATTTTTCTCCATTTCTCGCAGGGAAGAAGCACCCTGACTGACGTGGAGGAGTGCATCCAACGGGTGTCGGTGTGGGAGTGCCACCACTCGTATGTATCGTTGTGCCATTTAAAAGGTCAATGAAATGCAAACGTCGTCTTTGATTTGGACCCTTGCCTGCCCTGTTTTTAATATCTTTGGGAAAGGTTACTGAATATGTCAGTGATAGGACTTCTTAACTTTTCAAGAGTTCCAGTTAATGGCTGTATCTTAAAGGTGTCATCTGTGTAAGCAGGTGGTAGGAGGCTACTCTACTCTTCTAAATTTATGAAAAACTGTAGCATACTTATCCCTTCCTCAATATCATTATTATACTCCTTACATTTTCACCTTAAAGACTTTCAAGTCAGGCCCGGAAATCCATTCATGAATGACTTGATTAGTCACTCAGCTAATCCCACATCGACCTACTTTCTGGCTCTCCTTTAGTTATGAGCTTAAAGTTTCTAAGCTTGTTTACAACAATATACTGCCCACTACCCCACACTCGGATTACTTTCTCGGCTCGGCAACAAGTTCTCCGCAAACTTTCGGGCACACATTTTATGCAAGTAATACTTATGTATTAAATTCCAACTACTCTGCTGCCACCCAGAGGCACCCACAGAGACAGACACCCACACCGGCATGTGTAGATAGATTCGGGCAGGACACCCGACCGAGCATTGTTGTCGTCGTTCTCCTATTTGGCAAAGATAAAGTTTTGTAATAAAAATTTCTGCCGGCAGACAAAGACCGGGCTGGGAGCCAGGTGCGGGCCAGGAGGGGCGGGCATCTAGCCGGGCAGACTTTCTGTCTGGTACACGAAGTGTGTCAGCAACTTTGCCACTTTCTCAACATCCTCATCGTCCTCGTCGTCGTCGTCGTCGGATGTCCTTGCCCTTGGCCCACACACCAAGATAGACAATTTTATATGTATATATAGTATTCTATTCTATATATTTTTAGGGGAAGTGGCAAAGAACTTTCGCTTTAGTTCGCTTCTGCTTTGAGGACTGACACAGTTTGAAAGTTTACTTAAAGACTCTTCCTTGTTGTTGTTTCAATGAGTAGAATATATTTCTTCGGTGTTTTATAAATATTTTTTGTGAGAGAGACACACACCCTTTAACCGTATCCTGATTTTAGTAACCCCCCAGACGAGATTTGTCCAAGAATGTATGAGCTGGTATGAGCCGATGATGATGAGAGTCTGTAGCATGCGAGTGATGTGCTTCCGATAATATTAAATTAGAACGATATGCATGTAGTATCACCTAAAAAAATGCTAGTTCGTACAACTATATAAAGGCCCCCCCGCAATTCTATGACTTCCGTCTGATTCCGATGAGGCAGAGCACGAAGAAGATGATCGTCCAGCCGGACATCACCAGGAAGCCGTTGTAGACCTTGGCGTTGGTGATGCCCCAGCCCTTCTCGATTACGTTGCGGGCCGAGATGGAGGGTATTGTGAAGGGCAGCACCATCACCAGATCCTGCAGGAACTGCGGCATGCTCTCCAGGGGCCACAACAGTCCTGAAAATACAAATGGTTCTACAGAGCTTCCAAACACAGCTTCCAGACGAGATACAAACCGCAGAGTATGATCATGGGATAGAAGGCGCCCGTGGCCACAAAGTTCGCCTCAGTGTGTGACTTGCAAAACACGGATATGAAGAGACCTAGTGGGGCAAAGGTGTTGTGTTAATCCACCGACAGTTGTTTGTAATAATAATTAGACCCACCGAACAGCATGCCGCAGAAGGCGGTCAGAGTGAGCAGTCCGATCAGCGTGGTGGTGTCCCCATTGTTGTAGGTATCGAAAACCAGGCCGATGTACATGATAACCTCGAACGATTGCAGGGCCATGATAATGAGTTGGGTCAAGAGATGGGCCCACAGCATCTCGGTGGCCGACACGCCCGCCAACAGGGTCCGGTCCCAGATGCCGTCCATGCGCTCCGATATGAACACCGCCGCCGTCATCAAGGTGGCCAAGAAGAAGACCATGCTGAAACGATGTCCAAAGTGGACCAAGGTCAGGGTGGTCCAGAAACTGCCACTTGGGGATTGGGGCTACCACTTACGTCATGACCACTCCGGGGGCACAGTACTGCTGGAACTCGATGTCCATGGAGCCGAATATCGGCTCCTGGAACTGCACTGGGAGCTCGACGAGGGCCGCCGAGGCGTTGCAGTCCTTTACCACGCTCTTCATAAAGGCGCT